GATTGTAATAATAACAATAATGATGATGATAATAATGATACTACTAATAATAATGCAATTGGTATTATGATAATATTGGTATGATCATTATTATTATTTCATTATTTTGTTATAATTATCACAATAGTAGTAATGATAATGATGATGATTATTATTATTATTATTATTATTATTATTATTATTATTGTTATTGTCATTATTGTTATTATAGATTCCATGCAAATGCACACAAATGTACACTCAGATACACATACATGTAAACATATTCATACACACTCAAAAGAAATATCATTGAACGAGAGCAACACAGGAGCTACATCTTTTCTCTTCTTCCAGAATGATGAGGCAATGAGGCAAGTAAGCGTGAATGCCCAGTGTCACTTCGACTGAGACAGACGGAAGGACGCGCGGCCCGAAGGAGCGAGCGAGTGAGAGGTGCCGTTGCAGAGGTAGCAGTGGTGGCTGTTGCCGCCCCAGGACTTGATGGACCCCCCTGGTCCGCTGCCTGAGAAGTCCCAGAGTCCCTTAGAAGCAAGGCATGGCGGCCAGGGACGTGGCAGGGGGTCTGGGGTGGCCCGCTCGGCCCGCCCCAGAGGACTCCCAAAGCTCATGGCAATCAATGCACTCGTCTGCGGCGTGGAAATCGTGTCGAGCGCAGCTTTCACTTACATCCCTCCGCTGCTTCTCAAGGCTGGATACACTGAGACCGTCATGACAATCATATTAGGAGTAGGTGAGTCACATGGCCTTGTCCTTCAGTGAGGGAGTCCTCTTGGAGGGAGTTCTCTTGGGAGGAGTCCTTCAGTGAGGAAACCCCATCCTCTTGGAATAAGTCCTTCAGTGACAGGTAATGCAGTGTGAAGTGGGCCAGAGTGCAGTGAAGACTCTTGATTCCCAATGGGAGAAGGGAAGTGAACATGGGTCCTGTTTGCTAGGTAGGACTTGATTTTCAGGGGCAGTGGGTGCAGTGGGAAGGGATCCTTTGTTAGGGATGACACTTGATTCCCCTTAAGGGGTCATGTTGTGAAGGGAAGGATTGAACTCCCACAGTGGGAGCATGTTGTCGGTTTAATTCTTGTTGAGTAGTGTCTCCAGGTATCTCTTGTGGTGTAGTGATCGACTTAATTAACCCCTTGCTAATTAGGTCATTAGCGCTGCCACCACCTGGTTAGTACGTCCAGTAACAATTAATGTGTGGAAAGGAGAAGACGTCTAGAAGAGTGTAAGATAGCGAGAAAGGAAAGCATGTGTGTAAGAAAAGGAAAAATGACCTAATCAACAAGGGTTTGGTTGGTAACGTGTTTTAATTCCCGAGGGGAGTGCGTGTCAGCCTTAAGGGCTGATAGAAGGTGGTCAATTGCTTGTCACCAGGTAGCCAAGTATGTATCATGCGTCTCATAAAAAAGGGTTTAATTAAAAAAGGGATTTCACTTGTGAAGGCTTAAAACATATTTATTATTTCCGAAAGTTAACACTTAAAATACTCGTAAAACAGAACTCAAAAATACACAAAATAAAACAATAAAAACGGAACCTAAAACACCAAAAAAAAAAAGAGCACTCTGTTGAAACTATAAAAAAAGAAAACGTAAAATATCCCACCTTACTGCCATTAAAATCGTCCTTACGACCGCAGGGGAACAAATACAAACAAACAAAGCAACGTCTTTGCTTCCGCCGGGTATACATCGGCCGCTAAGAAGAGCATACTATCCAGACCCCCTGCTAAGATCCGCTCGGTCCCCGGGGTATATATAGCCGACCCCCAGCAAGGATCTTAGCTAATGGCTAGTAACTAGCCCGGGAACGAGCTAAACACCTCCCCCCTCCCTAGATGGCGTGGCAGTTCTTCGCCCATTAAAACTGTTTTTAAGCTTACATCCTTGGTGTTAAAACCCCTTAACCCCCATTAAAAGTTACCAATAGGATGTTAAAAGAAAATATTAAAAGTAGTAACTGTTGAATTAGCTTTAAAGTAAAAAGGGAGTGCTTAAAAGAAGCAGAAAAGAGAAAGTAGTGACGGTTCCTCTTCATTAAGACCATAAATCTTTATTTAATCAATAAAAAAAACATTAAAATAATACAAATTCAATAAAAGCTGGAGAAGGCAACATCGTCTGAGCGGCCGTGCGGATATTTTCCCCAGTTTCTTCAAGGGGAGACTCAAACAATTCTTACTCCGGCACGCATGGCGCTGTATGGGTCACTACAGTGGCTCTCGATGCACATTTTTCTTGTGAACTTAAAGGGTAGGACCAATAAGCTAAGCTAGATGAAAATGCAAGTGAACAGTAACATGATGACAAAGATTACAAAATTATTAGTAATTATGTAGCACTTGTGATGATATGTGATGATTATTTGGTAATTATGGTCACATGAATGTGTCAGTATTTTTCTGGCAGTGTAAGGATACATTTATTTTTAGAATCCAGGTGTCACCACGCTCCACCCATTGAGAAAGACATATTTACCAATCAGATTTAATTATCTACACTTGCCTCAAGAAGTTCACTTTCATTAGTGCTCAGAAATTAATGGTGGCACCAGAAATCATTTTTGTTTTACTGCTTTTAAGAAGACCTGGCAGGAACAGAGTTTGGGAAGAGGTTCATTCTCTTTGTACTGTTATTTTTTTAGCATGAAGCACTATTATTGTTATTATTTATTGTTGTTGTAGGTATATGTGCATATATATGACTGTATGTATGTATATATGCATGTATATACATATATATATAAAACCATGTACACACACAATAGCCACATATCCATTAATTATTTTTGTGTAGGGAGGGGGCACACTTTTACACATGAGCATGCACATAATATATAAATGTATATAAAAACCTTAAGCTTTGTGTCTCTAAATTGTTTTTCCCTCTGTTTCCAAGCAGAAAATATGTCCTAAAAAGAGAAATAATAAGGTACAAACTGACACATAAGACAGATGACAAGCCCCTTTGAGCTGGCCCTAATAGGCTTACCCAAAGTGGCGTTGGATGTGACCCAAACTATCCCTCCTGAAGTCTGTCGCTTCTCCTCTGATTGAATTTTACTATTTTTGTTGTTGTTGAAATTTTATTGCTGTTTCTCTTTTCATCTTTTTTTTTTTTTTTGTTATTGTCTTCATCCTTATTGTTATTTCTGGCATTATTGTTTTTATTATTATTATTATTATTATTATTATTATTATTAATTTATTTATTTATTAAAAAAAACAAATTGTTTTTAGTTTTATCATCATCATCATCATTTGGGCTATTTTTTTGACATCTTGATAATTGTTTGTGAAGCCATCTGAATTAAACCATCCAACAAACAAATAAAGAAATGTAAAAGTGGCTGCAACCTGCACCAGAGGGTTGACCATTGGAGTGCAATGGCCAGTAACTCACAGTCCCTTTCAGTAAAGTGGCCAGTGATTCAAAATTCATTATTATTATTATTATTATTATTATTATTATTAATTCCATAATTGTTATACATGTGCCAAATATTATCCTTTTAGTACTGTAACAGTCACATATGTTACTCTTCCCCCCTTATCATTTCACAGCTCCGTTTCTGGACATGATGACGGTGCCCCTCCTGGCCGAGTGGAGCGACCGGTGCATGTCCGTGCTGGGGCGACGCCGGCCCTTCATCATGTCCTTGGCCACGGTGCTGCTCTTCTCCCTCATCCTCATCCCTTACGGCCAGATCATCACCTCCATCGTCAGCGGCGAGCACTCCGGGAGGATCAAGTACGTGTGTCATCATTTTTGCTGTTATTGACCTTGGTGAGGGGAATTTGGGGGGGGGGGGACTTGGGGTGACTTGGGGAGCCTTCCTTTCATTGTCCTTTTGCTTCCCATCCTTCCCAGCCTTTACCATTCCTTTCCTTTCCTCTCTTATCCTCTGCTTTGCTTTATTTCAACTGCCTTTCCTGCCCTTCCCTTCCCCTTTATCTTTTCCCTTCCTTTTCCTGTTCTTTTCCCTTCTCTTCCCTTCCATTTCTCTCCATTTCTTTCTTTTCCCTTCCCTTCCTTTCCCTTTCTTTCTTTCCTTTCCTTTCCTACCAATTGCTTTACTTCCCTTCTCATCCCTTCACTTCTCTTCCCTTCTTTTTATTTGCCTGTCCTTTCCTTAACTTTCCTTCCCCTCCCATTTCTTCTTTTTCCTCCTTTGCTTCCCTTCACTTCTGTTCCCTCCCATCCATTTCTCTTCCCTTTCTTTTCTCATCTCTTCCATTCATGTTCTTTTCCTTTCCTTAATTCCTTTAATCCCTTCCCTTTCCTTTGCCTGCCTTTCCTTCTTTTCCCTCCCCATGCTTTCCTTCATTTCCCTCCCCATCCTTTCCTTCATTTCCCTCCCCATCCTTTCCTTCATTTCCTTTCCCATCCTTTCCTTCATTTCCTTTCCCATCCTTTCCTTCATTTCCCTCCCCATCCTTTCCTTCATTTCCCTCCCCATCCTTTCCTTCATTTCCCTCCCCATCCTTTCCTTCATTTCCCTCCCCATCCTTTCCTTCTTTTCCGTCCCCATGCTTTCCTTCATTTCCCTCCCCATCCTTTCCTTCTCCCCACCAGCCCACAAACACAATTCTCCCGAGATGTTGTTCAAACATCTGTTAACCGTCTTCCCCTTTACGTTGCAGTATGATAATCCTTGCGCTGGGTGTGATTCTGCTTGATTATAGCTACCAGGCACTGTTCAACCCATGTGAGGCTCTGCTGTCAGACCTAATGGCCACAGCACCTGAATGGGAGCAGACTCAGGGTTTCACAGTATATTCAGCCAGCATTTCCCTGGGCTGCATCCTGGGCTACCTCATCGTGTCCATCGACTGGCTGTCGGTGGGCCTCCTCATCGGCTCACAGGAACAGACCGCCTTCACCGTCATCTTCATCATGTTCCTGCCGTGCATGTTCCTTACGCTAGTGTTTGCCAAGGAGAAGCCACTGAAGAGGGCACTGGTGCTGTCAGTGCATCCCAAGGAGGGAGAGCTGCTGAGAAAGGACTTGGCATCAGAAAAAGAGCTGCTGCTGGCCAAGAAACTCGACCCGGTAGTTGTGGAGGAAGGCGTTACTATGCTGGACCTTACCCACGATGGCACAGCCATAGTCAAGGACCACCCCTCAGATGGAGGATACGAGAGTGGCTCCAGCGAGACTGACGAAACGGCACCACTCACACTCTCCTCGTCCGAAATGCTCAAGTGGAGGTATCATCGCCTCATGCACCAGATCCAGCGGCTGCCCAAGATCACCATCCAGAGGCTCATCAATGGCTGCCTGCGATTCCTCTGGAAGATCATGAAGATTCTTGTATTTTTACCTTATCAGGTTCGTGTGCTGACCTCGTTTTTGCAATGCTGTTAGTGTGCAAATGTCTGACCAGTTTAGTTATTTTTCTTATCTACATCAATCCCTCATGAACAGGTCCTGTAATGTTTCAGGCATGTCCACCAGGCACCATATTAGCAACACTGATCCAATCCCTATAGTGATGTTAATGATAATTTGTTGTTGCTGCTTATTAGTGTTGTGTGGTAAATCACATGTACTGATGTTTGATTAATAGAGAAAATATTGTGTTTTTTTTTTTCTTTTTTTTTCATTTATTTTCTTTTCTTCCCCTCCCCTCCACATTTAGGTTAGTAAAAAATCACATTTCCACAAAGGTTTATTGGGCTGTAATTTCTAGTTCAAAACATATAGTAAATTTTTAAGTTTAAGCAATAATTAGTTCAACCCATGAATGGAGATAATTTTTCTTTGATGTAAAGTCTCCACAATTCCACATTTAGGTTAGTAAAAAATCACATTTCCACAAAGGTTTATTGGGCTGTAATTTTTAGTTCAAAACATATAGTAAATTTTTAAGTTTAAGCAATAATTAGTTCAACCCATGAATGGAGATAATTTTTCTTTGATGTAAAGTCCTCCACAACAAGCTAGAGGGTCCAGTGCAAACCTCACATTCCCCCTCCCCTCCACATTTAGGTTAGTAAAAAGTCACATTTCCACAAAGGTTTATTGGGCTGTAATTTTTAGTTCAAAACATATAGTAAATTTTAAAGTGTAAGCCATAATTAGTTCAACCCATGAATGGAGATAATTTTTCTTTGATGTAAAGTCCTCCACAACAAGCTAGAGGGTCCAGTGCAAACCTCACATTCCCCCTCCCCTCCACATTTAGGTTAGTAAAAAATCACATTTCCACAAAGGTTTATTGGGCTGTAATTTTTAGTTCAAAACATATAGTAAATTTTAAAGTGTAAGCCATAATTAGTTCAACCCATGAATGGAGATAATTTTTCTTTGATGTAAAGTCCTCCACAACAAGCTAGAGGGTCCAGTGCAAACCTCACATTCCCCCTCCCCTCCTGATTGTAAGAAACCCATTACCTGCTTGTTTCCTTATGAAAAAAGTAGGTCTTGGCAATGTATCCATTCCTGCTCTCTGGTAAACTATTACTCACCCAGTCACAGGTGGAAAAACCTAAAATAATGTCAGCAGCCCTTGTCTAGAGGAACATGGTATTCAGTCAGTTTAAATAGATGTTAATCTGTTTTTATACATATAGCAATTGAATGACCCTGATGAGTTCTTAATAAAAGCTAATGCAACCTGAATGTTTCTACACATTTGTGCATGGCTTATATAACCATACCTTTCTGCAGATCATCAAACTACCAATGGGCACTTGGCACAAGGTGAGCAGTGCGCCCACAGTGCTCCGGAGGCTGTTTCTGGCTGAGCTTTTTGGCTGGATGGGATTCATGTGCCACAACATGTTTTTCACGGACTTTGTAGGCCAGTACATGTATGGTGGGCTGCCCGATGCCCAGGAGCACACAGAGCTTGCAGTATTGTATGACGAGGGGGTCAGGATGGGGTCCTGGGGTCTCTTCCTGCATAGCCTTACAGGTGGGTGTCAGTCATTTGTAGTTCAAAGTAAGTTTTATTGTTCATACTTGATAAGCAGCAAAACACGTCATACATTCATGCACATATACATGCTTTCTTCTGGATGAAGACTGGAATCTCAGTAATCTTAGTAATCTTAATAATGATGTGCAGGACACTACAGAGTTGTGCATAGCACCTTGTCTTATTCCATGTCTAGTATGCCACATCTAATTCCTTTGTTTCTCCTCCCTCACTGTCTAGCCTGCCTCTATGCCTTCTTCATCCAGCAACACATTGTCCGCTTGTTGGGGCACCGTGCTGTGTTCATCGGTGGACTTTTCATATTCGCAATCACCATGACAGCAACTATTGCTGCACCCACAGTGCCCTTCCTCAACGTTGTAACAGCCTTGTCTGGAGTCGGCTTTGCAGCTCTCACCTCAACACCAAATATGCTGGTCACTCTTTATAACTCAGACCGCCAAGTAAGTTTTCAGAACCATTTATTTATAAAATAAATTGCCTTGGTTTATCAGTTCTTAAAATACATGTGAATATCTTACATGAAATGATAATATCAGGGTGTGCAAGTGTCTCTTATGAAATTTTTCATTTATGGTTTTCACCTCGATATCCAGAATGCCAAAAATTATTCTGATTACTACTAGTAGACACCTTGGACCTCTACCCAAGGCCTGTTGGCCGATCTGTAAACCTCTGCACCTTGGTCCCTGCCCTCCCCTATCCCTACTCCTATGTGAAGTAGGGATGTGGCTGGATACAGGGTGCCCTCTGGTAGCAACAGAAAGAATCAGTTTTATGCTGTTTAACCCCTTACTGATGGATGAAGAAAAGTTTTAAAAAGTAGACACTCTGGAGATTAATGGCAATGAGCTGACTTTGAGTGCAGGAGTTCGCTACATCAGGCTGAACCCCGTGGCACTTTGGTGCGTCGCTGTGGCACACTCCATGGATCGAGTGGTTTGTTATGACGCCTGAACGCGTGGTCCATCGGTATGGGGTTAAATGAGACTTTAAAACAAAAATTTCACATGCAAGACACATGCATTCCTCTGCTGACAGATTAATGAAGTCTGCTTGAGTTTTGCATAAACAGAGGAACTTTTGTCTGTCTCTTATTACAACAGCCATTTAATCATATTCCGATGCTAGAAACCTTAACTTTCTCTTTGCTGTCAGTACTTGTCAGTAGTGTGATATATAAGCATTGTGTTAGTAAGCTTTTTCAGTGCTTGAAATTGAAACATTTTGATGTTTCAAAGGGTTGCTAAATGAGGGGACTTTAATATAAGATGGTTTTCCTTTATGTGTTTTATGGGTTTGTAGTTTGTGTTGGTTGATTAGTACATGGGAGTTTTCTCTTTTTCTTGAGTGTTAGTCATAGTTTTTGGTGATTACACAATAGGCTTTAGATTATGAAAATGGTTTGTTTGCATTATATTTTTACGAAGGATCTTTTTTTCTTTCCTTTCGCTCTGTCCTTTTTAATATATCAGGTTTTAAATCCTGTTTCATGTCCTTCTTCTTTTACTGTTTAGTCTTTATTCTTATTCTCCATTATTATTTGTCTTATACTTTCATCATCTTTTACTATTATCTTTTAGTCTTATCCTTCTTTTACTGTTCATCTTTATTCTTTTTCCTTTTTGTTATTTATTATCTGCCCTTATTCCTTTTTATGCTGACATTCCTTTTACAAAATAAAGCTGTGCAGGTAAATGTATGATTTCTTTTTACATATAATAGAATGTAGTACTAAGTTCATCCTCCCTCGGCAGCTGTACATGTGGGACGGCAACAGTTCAGAGTTTGGTGAGGAGCAAGGGCTGGGGACGGATGTTGCAGTCCTGGACACGGCCTACTTTCTTGCACAAATCATCCTGTCAGTGTTTATGGGGCCGCTGGTGGACCTCACTGGCTCGGCCCTCCCATATATGGTGGTGTCTGCGATGACAGGGCTAGTGGCAGTGTACTGTGGGACGCGCGTCGTCTTCAATGACCACCACCTGAAGCAGCTCAGGGCGGGGGGATTCTAACTGCGCTCACCTTCGTGGCCTTAGACCTGTCTGGTCTTAGGACTGGGCGATCCTCTTTTGTAATTTATGATTTACTTACATCTGTGTATCTTGCTGGTGTATTTATATGGACTTTTTATATTTATTTATATGTATCCTTTCTTTGTTGCATCAGGAGATGATAGATTGATGGTTTGTCATGTGAGTGTCAAGTCTCTCTCTAAGGTTTTATTTTGTTTATGTGGTAATGTATTTGTATTGCCTGAACTAAGCACACACAAGAACAGTCAGGCTTTCCTATGTGTGTATGATACATTCAAACATTGTTCAGTATAAAACTCTGACATGATGTTTGAGATGATCCACGTGTTGGGAAATATGAACATTGTCAAGTTGAATATATATGGAACAAAAAAAGGAAAGCAAGAAGATTTTGTGTCTCGTTCATTTAAGTGCTGCCAAAGTAACCTTACATATTATTTCCCCAATCTCTTGTGGTGGTTAAAGCACAAATTTTTATGGTATTTTTTGTCTGCAGATTATCCTCATGCAAAAGGAAAGGAAGTGTTCTGGGTAATGTGAGATAATTATATATGTTTATATATTTTCATATTTATATATATACTTATACATATACTTTTATATATGCACACACATACATATATACACTTTTTCCTTTCCAATGTCTCTAATAGTCTTTCTTTTTCTCTCGACTTTTCACCACTTTTTATTTATCTATGTTGTTTTTAAATCCCTTAGGCATAAATTAGGAGAAGTCCTAACTGGAGGTCATTATAAGTGTACAGGGCAGGGGCTGCTATAGTGCTGTGGGTCAGTAGGTGTTGTTAGTGGTGCTAGGAAGTATTGTGAATGGAGCAACAGAAAGAACAAATCTTTTTACTTTATACACTTTATTGTTATGTGTTCATGTATTTGTTGCTTAATCCTAAAGACCTACAACTAGCGAGATTGTGTAGCATTTCTTTTCTTTGTCTTTTTCTTTTTTAATGATTCAAAGTTTCATATTAGTTTAAAGGAAAGACATTTGTGTACATTTCTTTTTTGTAGCATGATATAGAATTGGAATCAGAGAAAGTAAAAAGCTATTGAATCCAGGCATTTGTGGAAGCTCTCTTTTATCAGTGGCCAGACACATTTGCTCTGTTTCAGATTAAACAGAAATGATAAATTGACCATAACTATGTCTGCTTAGCTTTTTATCTATTCATTGTTTGCAAGCTCGTTTTGTTTGTAAGAGATACAGTTGGTGCTGATGGTACTTATTAAGAAGACTTAGTTACACTTGAACAGTGATGGAGATAAAATTTCATCACTTTAAGAGAACCTTAAGAGAAAGGATTTTAGGGAATGAACTTTCCTACTTGATTATTTGATCCTCAGTTTCTCCTTTGCAACTCGCAGTTTTCAGAGTCAGAGGCGGTTCTAAGTTCTTTTGGGAATAAGAACTTATCAAAGACAAATATGTATGGCAGAGCAAGAGGCACTGTGGGAATAAGGGGAATAAGAAGAGCCGGAGTCGGCCTGCTTCTGTTTTGGTGGAACTGCAAGGGCAATGCCACTAGGTGCTTTGGTTCGCCTTGTCCTAAACAGCATTTAGTTTCTAAGAGGGCTGTTTTCCCGGCAACTTTAGCTCTTCCCCTCTCCTTCCTCCCAGGTTTGATGCGGTGACTGCTTTCTCTTGTGGATGCTTGCATAAGTCAAGTTCATTCTCAGACTGGAACAAAAAGGTCGTTCCATGGTTTATGTATGATTTTTCATTGTTATTTCATACTTTCTTTAACTTTAGATAATTTATATAGAGAATTTATATAGAAAGCATTTGTATCAGTGGACAGATCAGGCAGTAGAGAAATAAACAAAGTTGAATTATGAATACAAAGCATATGACACACAAAGAGTAATTATTATTACTTATGGTGTGCACTTTTTTAGTCAACAGGTCTGAACAGTATTGGAAGACAGTATTGTAATTGTGTCAAGTAAACCATAGAACAAGTAGCATCTTTGAAAGAACAATATTCATTGTCATGAGAAAGCACAAACTTTTTGAGGATGGTTTCTCCGTGTTTAATTTTATGTCTGTCTGTGTGTTGTCTTATCATGCATGAACAATTTCAGGAATGTGCTAATGACGTGCTTTTCTGTTTTTATCAACTGTAATGTAATCTGTATCTATTTGTTAATAACCTTGTCAAGTAGAGGTTAAAGAAGCTGGTGTTTAATCGCCCAGACTTATTTTATATAAAGAAAACATTAAGTATAAATTGCATCTTCTTGTAAAGAAATTCTAGGCATTTGGATTCTTTTTTTACCTTAGAAGCACTGGAATGGTGCATTTAAGTCCGTGTCCTTTGCAGGTCAAGAGTAGAGATGAATTGAGTGATTTCTCGTTATTTCAAAGGAACCCATCTCATTCCATCCAGGCAACTTTCAAAGGTTATCTCTCTGAATTTGACGTAAGAGTCAGACATATTTGCGTAATGGGTAGACTTTTTATATACATAGTGACATTTGATATTACCAAATAGTTTTGATACATTTTTTGCTTCTTAGGTCCAGTGGTTAATTTCAACATTTTGACCACCAGATCCTTTTTTACGTAAAAGAGACTGTAGCGTGTAGGCAGTGGGACAATAGTGATGAAAGTAGATGTAACATTGTAAATTGAGGAAACCATTAGGCAGAATGTCACGTCGGCTCCAACACAGTGGGAGCAGTTCCTTTTTGCGTGGGAGGGTAAGAAACAAGGGACACACGTGGGAACTCAGTGATGTCGTACAAATGTGAGGTTTTCCTTTCCTTTTTTCAAGTGATGTTCCCGCGGCAAAAGAGCGGGCTTTTATTACAGGAGAAAATGTAGGAAGAAGGAAGTAGTTTTACATGATTAGCATATTAATTCAGATAACAATTTTCCATTCTTCACGTATTTTTTTAAAGGTTTTAATTTGTGTATATATATATTTTTGCTTTTGTGTTTTGTACTTATATAGTATGAATGTAGGTTCCTTGTTGATAATTTTGTTCATTATTCTTATCATTATTTATTCATTTAGTGAATTTGACCCATAGATTTAAAAGAATGAAAAAGACATAACAGCATTTGCATACAATAAAACAAATGAAATTAGTATCATGAATAAAAATAAGTATATATGAAGTTTTTGAAACTCTTTATGTACACTGGCTTTTGAGTGAGACAGACAGACAGACAGACAGACAGACAGACAGACAGACACAGAGAGAGAGAGAGAGAAAGAGAGAGAGAGAGAAAGAGAGAGAGAGAGAAAGAGAGAGAGAGAGAAGAGAGAGAGAGAGAGAGAGAGAGAGAGAGAGAGAGAGAGAGAGAGAGAGAGAGAGAGAGAGAGAGAGAGAGAGAGAGAGAGAGAGAGAGAGAGAGAGGGAGAGAGAGAGAGAGAGAGAGAGAGAGAGAGAGAAAGAGAAAGAGAAAGAGAAAGAGAGAGGGAGGGGGGGGAGGGGAGGAAAGAGAGAAAGAGAGAAAGAGGGAGAGAAAGAGAAAAGGGGTTAGAGGGGATAAAGTTAATGTCTGAATGACCATAAGGATGAGAGAGAAAGTGAGCAGAAACAAAATTTTACAAGACTGAAATTGTAAACATTCAGAATCGAATTTCGTGTTTTTTAAATTACACTGATGTTCTCTTTTGTAAGGTTTTACATTCTTCTTAACTTTGGTTGGTGGTGTTACTGATTCAACCAAAGGAAACCCAGAAGGAGCTGGCTTTTGGGTGTTAGGTTGTTCTTCACATAACCTGCTTTCCTTGCATATTCTTGGAACTGTGCAGCGGAAGTGAAGAAGAGAGAGAGTAGAAAAACGTAGAAGGTGGATTATCTCTCGGCTAAATTGCACAAAGTAAATTAAAGGCTGAAAAATACAAGCAGATTTTTAAAATAGTTCTATTGGTTCAGTTTTTACTTGGAATCCTGTGTGCGTGATACCAATGAAATTTTTTGCAGCTTGCGTCTGAGGAAGTTCATCCACTTCCTGTGCCGTAGTTTCTTTGCATAAATTTCAGATGCAGGAATCATGTAGTTGGGAGAATTAACCCTTTTCTTATTTATGTATTTATTCTAGAGGATTTGTGTTCACTTTGCAAACATGTTAGAATAGGTAGCGCAAAGTAAAGTATTGCTTTCCCTTCAGCTAGAAATACATTCATTTTCAAAAATAAGCATGGATGCATTGCAGGAAATTCCATTCAACAGAGAATTGATCTTTTTAATCTGCCCTGTCACAGGGTACTACAAGGGAAGTTCTGTATATGTTATCCACAACCACCAGAAATATCTTGTTGCTTCTAAAACCATTAGTATTTGCTTTGCTCTTCTTATGTAAAGCAGTTGGTTGTCCGGCTTAACTTCATGGTAATTCAGTGATATTTATTGGTTCTTTCACTTCTTGCCTAGATCAACTAGATATGAATTCCTGCATTTGAAAATGTATACACACTTTTTTCTTTCTTTCTTACTATATTACGATGTGTTATAGAGATTTGTATATAGATATATTCAAGAATGTAGTTTGGAAAAAAAATTCAGTTATTTAAAGAAATATATTTTCATTGTGTTGCAGTTTCATTCCACAATCTTGGAGTTATGTTGCAATAACCTGAGCATACAATAGATCCAAAAACTGAGTCGAGGACATTTGCAAATGACTTCGACCACTTGCAGGATGAAGCAAAGCAAAAGTGAAATGAATGTGGATGAGGGTGTTGAATCTGATTCTCTGTCGTGACTTGATTTCATCCATTTGTGGTCTACTGTTTTGATTTAAATTCCATATAAAGTGAAGACAATCACATGATAGTAGTGAGATTATTGTTCATATATTTTTAATCAATCTAAAAGTTTGTTGTTAATAAATCCCATCAAAGAATGGCATTTTATTTTATCCCTATAACTCATAAAGATTTTTTTTTCTTTGTTTTTTTATAGTATTGTGGGGCTGGACTTCCAGACTTAGGCTTATCCTCCATTTGAAACATGTTCCCCAAAATAACAATGTTAGGAAAAACTATTGCAAAAGTACTAGCAGTATCCCATGTTATTATTATTTTAAATTTCCATTTAAGGGAAGGGAAATTTTTAATAGTAAACCTAAAATATTTAATAGCCTTAAAACTATTACATTCATTTTCCCTTGACCAGCAATGGATGCACCAATGCTTTTAACATTATATCATGAAGTCCCGTTTACTGAAACCACCAAGAAAATTACTTGGTGAATCAGAAGACTCCAGAGTCTAGTGTAAGAAGCTAGCTTTTTCTTTCCAGAGAGTGGATGCACTATAGTCATAACCAACTTCATAACAGCATCTTCATCAACTTTGACATGGAGCAGCAGGGATTGTCTTTTATTTAACCCAATGTTGGCAGGAAAATGCTGTGCCCATTTTAGATTTTTTTTGTGAAATGTCTGCACATAGATGGCTCTGCAAATGCTTAGCCACAAAGGAGTTAAGCAGTAGACCTTGTAACCTGATTTCACCCTTCCTTGAATTTGTTTGATTTTTTTTTTTTACTAATGCTATGGTGGTGTTTTTGATATAGTCATGATAATTACTATAATGTTATTGATATTAGTAACTGCAATGAAGTTAATGGAGCTACAGCTGAAGTGCCCCATGTTATTTCTTTATAGAATGAGAGGACTAGAATGTACAAGACAAAAAGGTTTAAAAATAGCTTATTACAAAATAGATGCCAGTAAAGTTAGAGGGAAGATGCTCAAAGTGGTACATTTATCCAGGATGACAAAAGAGTCCAATTGTGATTGTATATGGGACAGAGAAAGAGGCAGACAGAAGGCAGGCAGATGGACAGACACAGAAATAGAGAGAAAAAAGACAGACAGAAAAAGAATGGCACAGACAGAAAAAAAAGAGTCAGACAGACATAGAGAAAGAAACATACAAGCAGAGAGAAAGAGACAGACAGAGAAGGAGAGTCTGACAGACAGAGAGAGAAAGAGATAGACATACAGACGGAGAGAGAGAGAGAAAGAGGAAGAGAAACAGACAGACAGAAA